GTCGTATCCGTTATGCCTAGTATTTCCCGTGGCGACGTCGAACCTGGGCTCCAAGTCAGCGCTTGCAGATGGCGTTCTGCCTTGCATTTCGCGCGGCGGCGTCGAACCTGGGCCCCAATCAGGGTTTAGAAGCTGCGTTCTGGCCAGTGTTAAGCGTGGCGCCAGGATTTTGGAGCTATCTGGGTTGCACTCTGTCATGCCGCCGAAGCATCGTCCAAACCATGCTGCGCGTTCTGGCTATCCAGCGCGGCGGCCTCGAACCTGGGCTCCAGCCAGGATTTGAAATCTAGATGGGTCTCTCCCTGGGTCGGTGACGCCGCATCGGGCTTCAACTGCTCTGCCATCTCCCCTTCCAGCTTCGATACTGTGTCACTATTATCGTCTTCCTATGGGCCCCCCTGCAAATCCTGAAGCTTTGATCGCATCTGCCTCCTCCTCCAAAATAACCCCCTCATTTCTCTCGCCTGCTCCTTGTGGTGCTCCGCGTAGACGCAGGTGTGGTATCAAACTGGGCAGCCGCATTCTCGACCGCCTTACGGGTCACTGGGTCTGCAAAATCGGGTACTTACCCCCCAACTCTTGTCAGCCAGCGCTTCTCGATGTTCGTGAAGCTCCGCCTCGGCATGCATAACAGAAGCTTGGTGTTTGTCACCTAGCTGTAGCATCCTCGCAATGCTTGCCCTATCGAATATTAGTATCTGCTGGTTCGGCTCGGTTGGCCCCGCTATCGTTCTCAGTGAAAAACAGGCAGCCAATGGCACATGGTTCCGTATCCCACTCAATTTGGATGCCTGGAGCCTGCATGCGCTGACCCTTAAGAGTACAGCACGACTTCACTGCTGGTATCCGTTGCTGCGGGACGATGAGAAAGTCGAGCGTTTTCTGCAGTCCTTTGATGTAGAACGTCGGTCGCCCCATGGCAACATGCGTGTTGACCAGACTCAGCCGATGTGCCTGGAGCAACCGGGGGATCAGCTCTGCCGTAACATTGAATGTGCCAGGGCCCGCCGTGCCTTTTACCAGATCTAGTATTTTCGAACTGCCCGCTCATGTCTGTGAATACGACTGGGCACCATATCGCTGAAGTTTGCCCTGGTACAATACGCAACCATCCCATCATAGTTAGGACCGTTCTCTGCCAACTCCCTCGAGGTTCTCGCCCTCGATTGGGGCACGGAGGAAGAGGTGCAGTTACCAAAAAGAGACGCAGGGGTCCGCGTTCGAGTTCCCATGCTCCCAGACGCCCTCTCCATCCCTTAGGTGCTGGTAGGGAGCCACGCATACATCATCGTGAGAAATTGCGCTTGTGAGTCCAAAAACGTATGCCACAACTTTTGTTGACGCCCTGACTGCTGTCATCCCCATTCAATTGCCCAGTGGGTCTTGGTGGTAACGATGGGCTCCAGCAAGTCCCCCCCCCCCTCGGGCGCCTATGGGTGCCGATGGGGCCTATCACATCCATATAGCTCAGCTCGTCAACGACGTCCTGGGAGCGGGTCTCATTCGCGCTGAACGGGTTGTACGTACCGAAAAAAAAAACACCGCCCAGGGTCCGCCCATATCCATCGCTGGCCCCAGACTGCTGTGAGGCATGCTGCATGCCCCACCGAAAGAGGTGGCAAATGGGGGGAGCCCCCCCCCGATTCGAGAAGATGGCCACTTTCTCCCTCCCCCTCCTCCTCCTCCTCATGCCTCCTCCTCCTGTTCCTCCCTGTCCTCATCTTCTTCCTTATGATCCTTCTGATCCTACTGACCTTGTGACCCTGTGACCCTCTCGCGCCCCTGTGAACCCCTGATATGGCCGCAATGCACTTGCAAAAGAGAAGGCTTGCAAGTGCAATGTGGCCCTGTGACCCTCGGCCGTGCTCGTGACCTTGTGACTTCGGGGCCGCGAGCAAGGCGCCACAGACACCACAGACACCACAGGCACCCCAGGCACCACAGCCACCACAGCCGCCACAGACGCCACAGACGCCACAGACACCACAGACACCAGGGACACCCCAGGCACCATAGATACCACAGACACCACAGACACCCCAGGCACCACAGCCACCACAGACACCACAGACACCCCAGGCACCACAGCCACCACACCCGAAGCACCACAGCCACCACAGACATCAGTGGCACCACAGACACAACAGAACACCCAAGACACCACAGACACCACAGACACCATAGAACCACAAACACCAAAGGACACCCCAGGCACCCCAGACACCACAAACACCACACAGACCCCAGCCAAAGCGCGAAGGCGACAATCTCTGAGACCCTATTCGAGGGCCCGACCGGCCGCGTAAGCTCAACCCCGCAGCCCCAGCAAAAGGCCCCTTCGAACGCCTCGTTACGGCCGTCGATCCACGGTTTTGCCCACCTCCTTCCTCCTTCCTCCTCCTCCTCCTCCTCCTCCTCCTCCTCCTTCTCCTCCCTCTATCACGCTCTCTCTCGTTCTCTTGATCTCTCTTCTTCTTTTGATTTCTCGATATCTCTCTCTATATATACAGATATATCTGAACACACACAGTCAAGCCGCATAATAAGGATGCGCGGTAAGGATGCAAGAGCCTTGAAAGGCCATGTTGCTTTTCGAAAGGGGGCTGGCCAGCGAAAGTCGCCAAGGATGGGGCGAAGGGGCAAGGACGTAAGGGTAGGCTTGGAAGGTGGCTCATCCGTGCTATGCGACTTGACTGTGTACTGCATGTATATATATATATATGTATATATGTATCCGCTCCGCCTCATTCTTCATCATATTCTTCCTCGGCCCCCTCGTCCTGCGACATGTCACCTCTTCCTTCGCCCCTCGTCATCCTCCTCGTCGTCGTCCTCCTCCTCCTCCACATGCACCCTCCAGTTCCCCTCCCCCCTCCTTCCTCCACGACCTCCTGTTTCAAGGCCTGCCGCCACCTCTTCCTTCGCCTTTTCGGCGACGCCCTGAAGGTCCCGCCACGCTTTGCCCTTCGATGCCGCAGATGCACCCGCGGTGGACTGTTTTGCGCGGACACGAGAGGTGATATCGTCCCCCGCACGCGCGAACTGCCTGCGACCCGTACGCGACCCGCGCGCGGCGTGCGACCCACGCCCCCACCGCTGCTGCCCACCAACGCTGGGATGCCGAGTATCCATGAGCGGCGCGGAGGCCCGCGAAAACAAAATCCCGTCTACCCTTGGCGTCCCCGCCCAGGGACCTGACCCGCGGCGCCGTGGACATGGACCCAGACGTGCGATGCCCCGATTTTCCTCATACACGGTCCCCGCAAGTCCCGAACCTTTGCCTGCAAATGGTGCCTCAGCACGAGAGGCCTCCGAAATGGGGACCGAGAAAATTGGATCGGAGGATCGCGCCGCATCGCCGATGCATCGGCGATGCATCGGTGACGTCGGAGATGTATCGGCGCCATCGACGTGGAGAACTTCCGGCTCCACATCGAGCCGCATCGACCTCGCATGCCGTACCCTGGCCCACCCCGCACAGAGCCTTCTGAGGCCTCCCTGGCATGCCCCCTTAGAGGCAACGCGACGGCTGGCTGCAAGTTGGCCAAGGATCGCCCCCAAATTGCCGAAGGGTTCCCAACAGGGTCCCAATGTTGCCAAAGAAAGCCCCGAGATGGCCAAGAGAAGCCCCACAACCGTGTCCATCCCAATTGCCCTCAATCTGGGGATACATCAGAGGGGCGTTTGGTGGCAGAGCGCAAAGCCATCTAAGTCACACGCGTTTCGCAAGAATCCATGCCCTCGATACTGGATTTTCGTAAGGACGGCCCGCCTTACAGGGCGGGTTCCGAAAACCGTGAAGCAAAAAACTGTTGTCATCTCATCTCTTGGGGGGCAGATGTTTACTTCCACTGGTTTCCGCCAGGCATCCGCTGGCTTCCGCGGTCGGATCCGCCCCCGTTTTACGTCCGCCGCCTTCCGCGATTTCCCTCTGGGGAAGAGATGCCGACTCCTTCGCCCCTTGACTGCGAGGGCCTTTCTGGAGAGCCCCAATTTTCCAGAAACCCAACCCTATCAAATTATGAAAGACTTCGGAAGCAAACCCAACTGTTGCCTGCAAGACGGCGTCTCTACACCTCGGCCACGCGATCAGCCTGATACTCGCTGCCGACGCGTGCCCACGAAGCCCACCACTGCGCCTTGCACGGGTAACAGCACCCACTGTGATCTTCTCAGCGTCGGGGCATTACGGGAGGGAGTATGGCTCTCCCGCAGGGAGTATGGCCTTCCTCAGGGAGTATTGCTTCCCGCTGGGAGTATGGCCTCCCGCAGGGAGTATTGCATTGCTCCCCGCAGGGAGCATTGCCTCCCGCAGAGAGTACTGCATTGCCTCCTATAGTACAATACATTGCAATACACTACAATACTCCCTGCGGGCGTCAATACTCCCTGCGGGAGGCTCCTGGCCGCGTGCTCCAGCTCGCGGAGGCTCTGTTGAAGCAGGAACCACGGCAAAACCCACGTGATCAGTTGACAGGAACTACGTGGGAGAAGCAGGAGGGAAGGAGGAGGAGGAGGAGGAGGAAATGAGGATAGATAGAGGAGGCCTGGCCACCCCAAGATAGCTATACAATCGGCAGGGAGCACAAAGGAGAAGCACGAGGGGAGAGGGGAGGAGGAGGGGGGAAAATGAGATCTCGCCGTGCAGACACACATTGTGCACAATCTTCCGTGCCCAAGCAGGGGAGTCGGGTGCCACTCGTCCAGCGTCGCCGCTGACTCGGTGGAGTCGTGGAGAAGGGGGGGAGGGACCAGGTGGCCTCCGGGCCTAAGAGGACGGACCAGGCCTAAGAGGAAGGACAAATAATGGGATTGGACAAATGGAATCGCACGACCCCAAAGACAGACAACCAATCTCATCAAAATATGCATGAGGAGGACATGGAAGCACTAGGGATGAGTGTGACTCGAATCAACAACTTTTAGTTGGCGGGTGAGTCTTTCAGTGTTGTGCGAACAACCGGCGGACCCACGGTTGTCAATGGTTCAGCGTCGCTTAGCTATGAGGCCGAGGCTGCGTGAGCCAGATAAGGCACGACACCAATGAAGCGCCCAACGCGAAGTGATAATAAGAGCGCGTACGTGGCCCAACTGCATATCAGGGTGGCCGCCAGAACTACGAGCAAGATGGCGATCGTTACTAACGGGTTCTCAAATCCAGGAGGTTCGGGGCACTGCCTGAGACTGAGGATCGACAGGATCCACCATCTCTGCTCCTTGCAGTAAGCTATAGACGGCTCCACAATCCAGAACACGAAGACCTTAAGCCAAAGCCAGTGGACGCCGTACACTATGGGAAACGAATTGTTAGCGTAATGGTGGAATTCCGCGTCGATTTTGTCGTTCAGCAAGGCCTTTGCAAGAGGGTAGATCATGCCGAGAAAGGCCCAGGTGCCCATCACGTGGAGGGCGCCGAAATACGGCCCCTTGCAATAAGAGTTCGAATACACTGGGTAGATGTAATGTTGGGTCTCCACTTCCCCAAGAGTGGAAGTCGCTATGAGCCCGAAAATGGTAAGGAACCATCCGAGGAGCTGGCAAAATTGGAAGCCAGAGGGCATATCGCCGATGTCGCCCATCTGTCCAGCGCTTCGAAACCAGCGCTGGCTGAAAAAACCCTGCACGAAGAAGCCCAAGCACAGCAAGATGAATGGGATTGCTGCCCTGGGGTCGTGTGAAGAGTGCGGGTCTTTCGGCCATTCGTAATGGCAACCAGCTTGTCTGACGCAGCGGAAGTAAGAAATATTGAGGCCCGCGCTGATCGTGCATCGGCCCCCCTGCCAGTCGATACCCTCGTGCCAGTGGGAGTCCTCGAATTTACCCTCGTAGCCAAAACTGGTCACCAGGCCTACGTTGCACGCCATCTGGATGGCCTGCGCGATGCGCATCGCGAGCCACGCCGGCCGAGACCCTTCCCGGCTGTGGTCGGGCAGCGGCGCGATCCACGCGAGGAGCGCTGTGCAGATCGGGCCGGCCACGGCGTACAGCGCAAAGTGCCTCGAGAAGCCGGCCACCACGAGCAGCACGGCGAGCCCCAGCCACAGCACGGAGGCGGCACCGCAGTAGGTCTTCCAGCCGTCCCCACGGCGGGGGCCCGTCTCGGCGGACAGGAACAGCGGGCTGCTGAGCACCTCGACAACGAAGAGCGCCGGCAGGAACCAGAGCCACGCCAGGTCGAACTTGTTGAATATCCAATCGCTTGTCCAATAGTGCAGGAGCCAGCGGACGGGGTCGCAAGAACCTGGTGCTTGGGTGTCTTGGTCAGGGCAGGGATGCAGCAAGGTGTGCCAGAATCCAGGGTGTTTGGGGTCCCTGGACTCGTCGACGTACTGCCAAAACGGTATGAAGGTGGCGTAGAATATGACAAAAGGGATAAGTAGCCGCTGGCAGCGGGCCTTCAAGGTCTGGCGAAAACTCTTCGTCTTCCGACCCATGCCGGAGGACTTCCCGGAGATGTAGAAGAAGAGGGGCATGCCGAACTGCAGGGATGTGGCCCGAAAAGAACTCACTAAACGGATTGCGCCCGGCACGTTATCGAAAAAGCTGACCCAGTCCAGCGCCTGCACCACGTGGTAACACACCTTGGAGGTGACCAGGGGTATGAACAAGTTGGGACCCCAGAAACTCTGTCCGGGTCCCCTCCGTTCAAAATCAGTCCCCAAATCCCTCGCGGGGTCCATCTGGTATAGTTCTTCATCCCGGATCTGTTTCTGACGTTCCGGAACTCGAAAACGGCAAAAACACTTTCCCGAACCCAGAACCTCGAAACTCGCCCCTCCTTCCTGGTCGCTGGACCCAGTACTGGGCCACCTCAGACCCCCAGCCAACTCCAAGACACACCGTCTCCTCCTGCTCAATCCGCTCCTGCTCCACTCCCTCCTCTGGTCCCTACGCCCCATCTTGCTCCCGCCTCCTGCTGCTGCCTCTTCCAAGTCTCGAAAATTCTGCCCCTGCTACGTGTTCCTGCTCCTCCTCTCCTCGTGCTGCTTCACCTGAGTTATCCTCCCTCGTCGATGCCTCTGTGGTATTTATGTTGATGTTACTTCTGCTCCTGCTCCTGCTCCTGCCTCGCATCAGGTTCCCCCTGCTTTTCCTGCTACTCCTCCGGCTGCCCGGGGTAAAGGGCTTTAATTACCCCCGCCAAGTTGATGTTGGTGGATTCCCACCGCCCACAACGACTTTGTCTTGCCGTTGCTCGCACAGGAACCTAGCACACTTTAAAGCTGTGCAATCAACTAGTCTCGTCGTCGTCGTCCTCCTCCTCCTCCTCCTCCTCATCCGTCTCGTCTCATCGGACCACGAGGTATATGGCGATCACGCGTATCCAGTCCAGGAAGTAGTACCGCTGCCGATCGTCGTCCGTGCCTGCTGGGAAACATCTGCAGCGTAGATCTTTGGCATGGTGGATGTGCAGGAGGAGGAGGAGGAGGACAGGAGGAGGATTAGGAGGAGGAGGAGGAGGAGGAGGAGGAGGAGGAGGAGGAGGAGGAGAGAAGGAGGAGGACGGGGAGTAGGAGGAGGGGGAGGAGGAGGAGGAGGAGGAGGAGGAGGAGGAGGAGGAGGAGGAGGAGAGGAGGAGGAGGAGGAGGAGGAGGAGGAGGAGGAGGAGGGAGGAGGGAGAAATAGGGGGAGGAGGATCACTCAAGGATTACCCCAATCTGACACTGGCAGACAGGAGGAGGAGGAGGAGGAGGAGGAGAGAAGATGAGAGGAGGATGAGGAGGAGGAAGAGAAAAAAAGAGGCAAGAGATGGAGGGCCCGAGGGGGAACGGAAGGGCAGGGAATGAAAGGGGGCAAAAGAAATAGAGGGAGGAGGAAGCCGAGGGTGAGGCGGAGGAGGACGAGGACTACAGTAAGGAACGAGGGGCGAGGAAGGAGGGAGGGAGGGAAGGAGAGGAAGCAGGGAAGCAGGGGGGGAGGGAGGGAGGGAGGGAGGGAGGGAGGGAAGGAGGGAGTCGGAGGGGAAGCAAGAGAAGCGGGCAGGAGGGAGGAGAGAAAGCCAAGGATCACGCTTACGCCGCAATTCTCCCCGCTGAGCCCAGGCACTGCCGAAAGGGCCACCACTAGCGGGGTCGCCACCTCCTCGAGGAGATCGCCACCTCCCGGAACCTCCCAAAACACACCAAAAATTGCAAAATACCATCCGCAAGCCTTGATCCTGGGGAAATCAAAAGGTAGCGATAGCGCTGCTCCCCGGACCTCTCCTGGGCTCGGGGTGCGTTCTCACCAGGATTTCGAGGCGAATCCGGCGGTGGCGACGAGGGCCTCCCAGGAGACCCGAAAAGGGGAACACGATGAAGAGGCAGAGGTGTGGGTACCGCTCCCTCTGAGATCCTCAGCCCTCGATCCTCGGGAGAAGCCGGCGATGCCCCCCGAGGTGACCCCCCTGGCCCTTCCCAGTGGGCGCACCCCGGGGCGGCGACGGCTCTCCGGGGCAGGCGCCCGGTCGGCCCGACTCCGTCGGCGCAGGAGCATCCCGACGAGCCTCGGCGACTCCGGAGGGTGTGGTCTGCCAAGGGTGTGGTCTGCAACCCGCGCCTTCGGTCGGCGGCGAGCGAGGGGGGGAAGCGAGAAGGAGGAGGCCCTCTGAGAAGGCCACGGGGCCCGTCAGAAGCCCTCGCGCCCTCTGAGAAGTTTTCCGCGTCTTCGGGTAAGGCTTGGAGAACTTCTCAGAAGGCCAGGGGACTTCCGAGCCTTCTGAGAAGGTCCGCCCCTTCTCATTTCCCCCCCCCCTCGCTCGCCGCCGATTCGGAGGGCGGGCGAGGACCGCGACAGAGATCTCTGCAACGCCCCGACGAGGGCTCATCAAACCTTTCGCGCGACGTGGTGACCCCCATAAGTCCCATCGGTGTCGATCGATCGCAAACCACACCCAGCGTATTCACAACCATTGTAGTCGCCGAGATGGGGCGCAACTCCAGTGACGCCGACGCAGGAGCAGCAGTACGACAGCTGCAACAGGATCGCGTAGGTGCCCCAGCTGGCCACCAGGGTGGCCGCAATCACCACGACGGAACAACCAAAAACTGCACAAACATGCGGTCAGGAACTTCCGAGATCCGACGTCGCACTAAAACAAATACAGATCGTCAACAATCACGACCGAATCCGTTGACCCCATCTCTCTGCTGCAATTTTGCGAGCTGGATCGATCTGTGATGGTCCCAGGGCCCGGAATCGGGCGAAAGCGCCCGTTGTGACAAAAAAACATCGCCAAGATCTCAGGGACATGCGGTCGGAACTTTGGCTTAGTGTGTCGCGGCAGCAGCCCAGGCCACACGCTATGCCACGCGAGCGGAAAGCGCGTAGCTCCGCTCACTGGGGCGGGAGGCTGGGGAAAGCTTAGGACGTTGACGCCTGGAAAAATGGAAAAGTGGATAGCGTATCGCGAAGAAGTGTGGTGGGCCAGAATTGGCGGAGCGACAGGCTGTCCAAAAGTTCCCGCCGTACGGTAGGTACATTACAGAAGACGTCTTGTCAAAAGAAATATTGGGGCACATTCCGAACAGATCTTCGAAGGTCCTAAGTTGCCTCAGATCGATTATGTAGGCTCCCGGGTCATCGGGGCCCCAATTTCTTAATTGATGCCCCCACTCTAACTTTTGGGAGGTCGGCGCGCATTTCTGTGAACGACGCTGGGCCCCTCCCGGCGGCGCCTCCGGGGCTTCCGGCGCCGCCCCTGCCAATCTGAGTGCGCAAGGGAAAGCGGGGTCTATCGCCGACCCCGACAATCCGCGCGGACCTCCAGCAGTTTATGTCTATGAAGTTTTTGCTTCTTCGCCATGAACAATATGCCGACTGTGGCTAAGGGGTTCTCGTAACCCGACTCGGGATCGGGGCAGTGCCCGAAGAGGCTGAGTATCGACCACGGCTCTTTGCAATACCTGACAGACGGTTCTACCATCCAGAAAACGAAGATCTTTAGCCAAAGCCAGTGGACGCCGTACACCACAAGGCACGAGTTTTTTGCGTAGTGGTGAAGCCACGCGTTGATTTTGCAATTCACGTAAGCCTTGGCCAAAGGATATATCCAACTGAGAAAAACCCAAGTGCCAATCACAAAGATAGCACCGAAATACGGCCCTTTGCAATACGTGTTCGAGTATATCGGGTAAGTGTAATGATCGGCCTCCACCCCGCCGAGTGTAGAAGTTCCCATGATCCCGATAGCGACGAGGAAAAAGCCTAGGAGTCTGTACGACTTGAACTTGAATGAGGGCATTTTGCGGATGTCATCAATATACTGAGCACTCCGAAACCAACGCTGACTGAAGAATCCTTGCACGTAGAAGCCCAAGCAGAGCGAAATGAATGGGACTGCTTCTCTCAAGTAGCCTTTCTCGTAAGAGTTGCGCTGGTCTCTTGGCCATTGGTAATGACAGTCCTCTTGTTTCACGCACTGAGCATAGGTAATGTTGGAATCGGTGCTGATCACGCACTTTCCCCCCTGCCAGTCGATACCCTCTTGACCCTCTACGCATGCCCCACCCTGCCAATCGAGACACTCGTACCCAAAGCTGGTCACCAAGCCGACGTTGCACGCTATCTGGATGGCCTTAGCGACCCGTATGGCTATCCATGCCCGCTTGGCCTCCTTGGTGTCCCTGCTGGGCATGAGATTGTAGGGCGGCAAGGGCCACTTACATGTGAGAAGCGCTGTGCAGACTGGGCCGGCCACGGCAAAGAGAGCAAACTGCAGCGAAAAGCGGAAGCAGGTAACAAGCAGAACAGCGAGTCCAAGCCATAGCACGGAGGCGCCGGCGCAGTAGATTTCCCACCGAGGGCGCCGCTCTGCGAAGCCGAACAGCGGGATGCTAAGAATCTCAACGACCCAGAACGCAGGCAAGAACCAGAGCCACGCCAGGTCGAGCTTCCCAAATATCCAGAGCTTTCCCAATCCGCTGCTGGTGTAGAAACGCCAGAGCCAAGTGACAGGGTTCTTCTTCAAGTGGAAGATCCCAGGGTTGCTCGGGTCAATCTTTTCTTCCTCGTCGAAGTACTGCATCGCTGGGGCGAAGGTGAGACAGAAAAAGAGAAAGGGGAGGAACAGCCGCAGGGAGCTTGATTTCCTCAGGGTTTCAGCGCAACTTCTCGACTTATTGCCAGACTTGCCAGCGACGTTCCCGAAAGCGTAAAAGAAGAGGGGCATACCGACTTGTATGGTGGTGGCCCGGTAGGCGCTCACTACTGCAGAGGCACCAGGGACGCTGCCGAAGAAGTTGATCTTGTCCAGCAAATGCACCGCGTGGTAAAACACCTTCCCTTGTCCTGCTCCAGCCCCTTTTCCTCTTCCTGCTTATGACAATCCCCCTGCTCCTCCTCCTAGTCATCCTCCTCTCCCTTCGAAGCCATAATTCATCGATGCTCCCCACTGTTGAACAGGATGTTCCATGACACCCGAAAGAAGTGACCATGGATCTAGCTGGCAGCCCAGGGGACGATGACATAAGTATCAGTTGTCACCTAGTAGTGGGTACGTATGGTACTGTTCCTGGGACATGAGTTGTTTCCCATATAGCGGATAACGTATACCTCCTTTTCATCCACCTCACCATCCTCCTCGTCGTCTGAATCCGTCTCCTAATGCTAAGAATTGATCGTTCATGCACCTCCTTTCAAGGTGCTTCATCCCTTCCACCTCCTCCTTCTCTTCCAACTCCTCCTCCTCCTCCTTCTCCTCCTCCTCCTCCTCCTCCTCCTCCTCCTCCCCCCACCACAAGGTAGATGGCGCCCACGCCAAGCCAGTCCAGGAAATAAGCGTGATCTGCCGAATCCTCGTCGACCACGCCCGTCTCGGCGGCTGCCTCGTCGATCACGCCTGCCAAGGAATATCTCTTTCTACATATATCAATCGTAAACCGGGAGATCTTGGACCTCCTCCTCCCAGCCCCTTTGGAATGCATTCTTCGGCGCTGGACCGCCTTCCCCACACCCCTTCTCCAGCGCGCGGAGGGCACCAGAGGCGCCGCCCAAGGGTGTGGGGAGACGAGACGGGCCAGCACGGACCCATGAGATCCGCGCGGACATCAGAAAACGTGTGCCGTTTTCTGTGATCCGGGCAGCTTCCGAAGTTCCCCCCCCGACCATGCCCCTTTCCAGACACTCGATAAATAGATGTTTGTCGACTCTTTCAGGGTCAGGGACAGGTTTCCGTCCTGGTGGCCCGGAGGCCGAGTTGAAAGCACGCACGCGAGCTCAGATTGAACAGAATTGCTCGACGCGGAAATCCACATACGTGCATTTCGATTCCTGTCGCTTCCGTCTGTGAGCGTCGTAGGGAAAAAGCGGTCCATGGCGGTTCTCATTTGTTGTGCCCGAGTGCTATGCGTGCTGCAGCGGGATGCTCCTGAAGATGTGGAAAGAGGAGGGGTCGGGGGGTGCCAAAGCCAGCGTGTCGTCTGACTCGCTCAAGACATCCTCACGATGTGCTCTGAAAACAAGAGTTTCAGCTACGACGTGAGCGCCTCGCTCGAGACATCCCCACAATCTGGCAGCGAATGGGCGAATGTAGTATGCTTTGCGGTTCCCCCTTGGGGTGCTAAAGCAAGCGCCTCGCTTCAGACATCCTCACGACTTGCTCTGAAAGCACATGGGCCCCAGCCACGAAACGAGGAAACCGCCTAGGACGGGGGCTCTGACAAAAGAGAGGGGCCGAGGGTTCCTAAACCAGCGTTTCGCCTGACACGCTCGAGACATCCTCCGAGCGTTTCGCCAAACACATCCCCATAGTCTGGCCGCCAACAGGCCTGTGCAACAACCCCTGGCGGTTCCGCCTTGGGGTGCTCAAGTGCCACGCGTGCTATGTCGCGGTGATCGCGGGGTTTCCAAACAAGTCGGGGTCGGGTTGCAAAACGTTCTCCGACGGTGGGACCCCGCCCCAGAATTTGTTTAGCCTGTCCCGTGTTTTTTCCTCATCGCCCCGGCATAAGCCCCCCTCCTGTCCTCTACTTTGCCTTCTCCTCCTGGTCCTCCTGCCCCACCCTTCTTTCTCCTCCTCCTCCCTCTCCTGCTTCCCTTAATCACCCTCCTTCTCCTCGATGTTCTGTCGCACCCCGAAAACAGTCGGAAAGGGCGAGCCGGGTTTTTCGCCTGAGACTTCCACACCATTTATGAGCCTGAAGCTAAACAGCTGGCAACAGATTCGCAAATTGAGGGCGGGTGGTTTCCAACATGTGGCTGTCGCCGTAGTGCCGCGCATATTCGTTTCAAACAAATGCGAAAACCTCACGGATTGGGGGGGGTCAGAATGCGGTTCTCGCCTGAGCGCGCGCGAGCATCTGTTGTTTACGCAGCGAAGTGTTACTGATTGAGAGCGGATGGTTTTCAAAATGTGGTTCCCGCCCCAGCACCGCGCGCGCTTGTTCAACACATTTGCAACACACGCAAAAGTTTCAATATCATGGCAGACGAATCAGAAATTGTTGTTTGGAACGGTTCAGAACTGTCAGGGCGTGATAATTACGTGGATTCGCGGCGTTGATGCTGTCCTTTGGCACGGCCCACGAACGCATAGACGTGACAGACAGATTAAGTCGTGGTGTTGAAATCCTGAAAGTGATGTTTTGGCGCGCTGCGTGATTTTCACACGTTTGTCCCTCAACAGGGCATTCCCCTCAGTGGAAATGGGGGTTTGGGAGGGAGGGTGTCTTCCAACATCGTTGATGAATCCTGGGTTTACACTGGTCCTCGTCCAGGTTCTTCTCCTCTTTCTCTTCCCCCCATTTTTCTTCCTTTTCTTGGCCTCCTCCCCCATCGCTGCCCCGCCCAACTCAACCTGCTTTGCGCCCCCCCCCGCCACCTCCGGCATGTTGTTCTCAAGGGCGCGCAAATCGACTTCCAATTGCCAGGGCGCGCACACCTAATTTCCCGCTTCGGCCAATGAGAGCGCGCTTTCCGTCGGCCGGATCGCGAAGCCGTCGGGGCAACCCCGCGGGTCAGGCCGTCGGGACACTCCCGAGCCGCTGGCGCGCGAAACCAAGCCGTTGGGACAGCCCCGCGGGCCTTTACCCGCGCGTCGCCGCGCTCCGGCAGGAGGCAACGCGAAGCCCAGCTCTGCCGCGAGCTGCTGGCAGCTCCGGCTCCGGCTCAGCCCTGGAGTTCGCCGCTGTCTCGTCGAACTCCCTGCGCGCCTTCCGCAAGGCGGCCGACGGCCCGCGTTCCAGAACCTTGCGCGAGGGCGGCCACAGGACCACGTAGTGGTGCAGCCACCGCTGCTCGTCAGACATGCCCGTGCGGCCAGCGTCGTCCCTGGCGCAGTCGATAGTGACTGCTCTGCGCAGCGTCAGACCATGCGACGGCGCGGAGGTCAGGTAGGACGCGCACGTCAAGGTGAACACGTACGGCAAACGACGTGCGGCCCCGAGCCCTGCCACGTAAACTCCTGCTCGACAAGCCTGAACATGAGCAACCTCCTCGCCCGCGCCTCGGCCTCGCCGTCGTCGTCAGCGCCTTCGGCGCCCTGTAGCGGGAGCTCGTCGACCTCCCGGTAGATCGGTGACTCACTGAAGAAAGCGGGGGCGAAAAAGCTGGCCAGGCGCGCGCACCTCGCACCGCTGTTCGTTTATTGGGTGAAGTTCGAAGAACACGACGGTGGTCAGATGCCCCTGCACGAGCCCAAACTTCTTCTTCAGCTCCTCCTGCACGGCCTTCAACCGAACCGCCATGCTGACGCGCGCTGGCAAGACCACGCGCGCCCCCTGGAGACAAGGGTTTCCCCGTGCCCCCGGTTCGGCCGCCGATCGGTTACGTCTGACTGCCCGAAGACAAGGGTTCCCCCCTGCCCCCGATTCGGCCGACGATGGGTTACCACCGTCGCCGTCGTCCTCGTGGATTCCTGTTCCTCTCCTTTGATGGCTCGAAGGGGGGGCCCGTGAGGGCCCGTGCCGTGCAAGTCTTCTGTCGCCACCGGCTCGCCCAAACATGTGCTAGGCCTCCTGGGATTTGTTGCGGCCTTCTGATGCACTCCGAAGGCTCCAGCTCGAGACTGCACGAGATCTCTCTCGACACTGCCTCGCCATTCGCTCACAAACATATTCCCGCTCGAGGCTTCCACCAGATTCAGGCTTCAAGGACCTAGAACAGGTTTGGGGACTGGCCGCCTCGGATTAATAACACGAAGTGCGGTCCCTATAAGAAGGGGGCTCCGGCTCGAAACTTCCTCGCCATTCACTCACTGACGAGGCTCCAACTCAGGATTCCTTAAGATTCAAGCCTCAGGACCACAGAAGTGACGACAGTAACAGGTTTGCGGGTGGCCGCCTCGGATTCAAACCATGAAGTGCGGGACACATGAGGAGGGGGTTCCCGCTGGAGACTTTTTCCCCATCAACTCACATACGACTCTCCCGATCGAGACGCCCTCAAGATTCACGCCTCACGAACCTAAAACGACAGAAACAAGCTTGAGGATGGCCGCCTCGAATGAATAACAGGCTGTGCTCGTGCGCGTGCGCGTGCGCGTGCGCGTGCGCGTGACCGTGCGCGTGCGCGTGCGCGTGCGCGTGCGCGTGCACGTGCACGTGTGCGTGTGCGTGTGCGTGTGCGTGTACGTCTGCGTGTGCGTGTGCGTGTGCCTGTGCCTGTGCCTGTGCTTGTTTGTGTTTGTGTTTCTGTTTGTGTTCGTGTTGGTGGTTGTGGTTGTGGTTGTGGTTGTGGTTGTGGTTGTGGTTGTGGTTGTGGTTGTGTTTGTGTTTGTGTTTGTGTTTGTGATTGTGATTGTGTTTGTGGTTGTGGTTGTGGTTGTGGTTGTGGTTGTGGTTGTGGTTGTGGTTGTGGTTGTGGTTGTGTTGGTTGTGTTGTGTTGTATTGTGTTGTGTTGTGTTGTGTTGTGTTGTGTTGTGTTGTGTTGTGGTTTGGTGTGGCGTGTTGTGGTGCGGTGTGGTGTGGTGTGGTGTGCGTGCATGCGTGAGTGCGGGCGGGCGGGCGGCGGGCGGGGGGCGGGCGCGTGCGTGCATGCGCGTGTGTGTGTGTTGTGTGTTGTGTGTTGTGTGTTGTGTGCGTGTGCGTTGTGCGGTGTGCGTTGTGCGTTGTGTGTTGTGTGTTGTGTGTTGTGTGTTGTGTGTTGTGTGTTGTGTACTCTGTGTGGTGTGTGGTGTGTGGTGTGTGGTGTGTGGTGTGTGATGAGGGGTGTGGGGTGTGGATTTTGGGGGT